TTTTTGAATTTCAAATTTTAAATTGTCTAATGTACAAATACTGGTAAACTGAAATGGAAACTTGATTTCAGCTCTTTAACGTCTCTCTCCATTTCTTTGGGATATATCTGAACAAGGTCATTAAAGGCAACACTAAAAGTTGCAAAGGAGATGATTTGGCCAATCTCAAGGGGTATATGTCCTGTTAGCCTGTTGTGGGAAAGGTCTAAACTCTCCAAATTTGAGAGGTTTTTTTGAAGGATATTGGAATATGATTGGTTAAAAGATTATGAGACTAGTATAGAGAATGGAGTTCAGATAATTCACCAATTTCAACATGAATCTCATCGCCTAACTTGTTATCTGAGAAATCAATACCAGTCATGAAAGCAAGAGGAATACCTTGGAAAGAATATGAATTGCCCTTGGTGGTGAAATCAATTGGAACCCAAGAGTCTACTTAAAACTTCATTCTCCAGACTAAATTGTTACCAAGGCAAGAAGGAATGTCCCTAGAGAATCTATTTTTGGAAAAGTCTAAGAACTGCAACTTTTTCATTGTGCAAAGTTGCCTGGGAATGTACCCTCCAAAATCATTTCCTCCCAAAAGAAATGCTCTTAGTTGCTTGAAAACAAGTAGTTGGCCTGAAATAGTTCTAGACAGCAAGTGTTTTTTCTTATATTTAGCAGCATCAAAGACAAACTCCTCAATAAACACAGTGGCAAATTCCCATGGAACTGATGATTGTGCAGTAATAACCATCTTAGTTGTGTCATATTACAATCTTTTGGAAGCATCTCCCCGATCAAGCTATTATTTGACAGATTCAAGTACCATAGAGGGGAGTTTTGGGTTAGGCCATTTGGAATAGGTCCAGAGAGGAGATTGTTAGATAAGTCTAAGTGTTTCAAAATTTTAAATTCACCTAAGGAGGAAGGAATGCTACCAAATAACCTATTGGAGGAAGCATTGAAGCTATACAGCTTCGGAAGAAACAAATTGATGTCTAAGGGCAATCTCCCTTCAAAATGATTATCTGAGATATCCAGTTCAACAAGTGTGGATGCAATATTTTGCAAGTCTTGCGGAAATTGACTCAAAAAACAATTGCCTCGTAGCCTCAATACAGAAGAAACATTACGAAGCATCCAAGAGGGAAAGTTTCCTGTAAGTAAGTTACTAGACAAATCTACAGTCTGTAGGTTATTTTGGTTGAGAAGGAAATTGGGAATGTTTCGGCTAGTTTGGTTATTGAGGTTGTATCCTGCCAAAAAGAGATGTTGTATTTGAAAGGAAGGGTGCCAACTTGGGGTTTCAGATTCCACTTCTAAATGGTGATTGTAAGAAAGATCTAGGTAAGAAAGCCTCGAAAGGTTTGCGAAAACAAATAGTGGCACAATACCTTGAAAAAGGTTGTGAGAAATATCGATGTATTCTGCTTTTGAAAGATTAGCAAAGATGGAGGTAAGGTTCCCTTGGAATCGGTTCTTTGACAAATCTAATGTTCTCAGTGATGGCATGTTCCCCCAACATGGTTGCACAAAATCTTCTTCAATTGAGTTGGATGAAAGATCCAAACGTTGCAAGTAATCAAGGTTGCATAATGCTGCATCATGAGTCCAGAATTATGTTGTAAGTAATAGCTACACATAGGGACAATTAAAATTAAAGAGCATAAAGAATAAATAAATAAGAACCTCACCTTCAGGGTTAATCAATCCACCAATGTTATTGCCTTTAAGTTGTAACTCTTGCAATTCTTTGAGTTGAGCAAACAAACTCAAATCCGGAAACCATAATTCTTTATCTTCCCTAATATTTCCAAAGAAAATCTTGACAACATGAGGGCTTGTGAGGCTACATTCAACTTCTTCCCACTTGCAACAATCATCAAAGTATTTGCTTGGGTAAGGATATTCATCTCCAAAACATAGATTCTATTATTTGCTCAAGAGCTCTCGTCTCGTCATCTAGGCAACCTTTGCACCATCCATTGTTGTGAAAGACTATTAGCACTACAAACAGAAACAACTCAATAACATTAGCAAAGAAAATTATCAAAGTGGCAAATTATGCAGTTTTAACTCTCTCTCTCCCTCTCTCCCCCCTTACACTAGTAAATTACCCCCTGTTCCCAAGCAAGATAAACTAAAAAAAAAAATGCACCAATGTACAACAGTGTTTCATTCTTTTTTTCTTTTATAATTAGCACAAACAGTGTTCCATTCTAGTATTCAAGCAGAGGAAATGAAGAGTGGTAGAAAAGCATGAGATTTGCATTAGAAAGAGAGAATTCATTTAATTTCGTGGATATGTCATTTCTTATGTTATCCCTGTATTGCATAGAAATTGGATCTAAACTTATGTGTTTGGACATGTCAATAGGAGAGTTTCCTTGTTACCACTAGAGGACCAATAGAAGACTAGGGAAGTTGCATGAAAGCTAACAAAGTTCCTTTTTTATCAAAAGGGACTAGTTGCATGCAAGCAAAGACTTTGACTTTGAATGTAAATGATTCGTGTAATTCAGCTACCAAATTCTTTTGGCCAACCAATTGATATTCTACTTTGAAAATGTATATCTCTATTTGTTTCTTTTCCCTGTCCATACTTAACAACCAAAGAAAGACAAATGAAGGTTCATCGCAACAAGTAAACGTGGTCAAATTATTGATTTAATTACCATAGAAATTTCACTTGACTTGACTGGCAGAAAGAGAAACTTTGTTTATGCAAACTAGATA